CACCTGCCCGGATCCCGCCGTCGGTTCTTTGATCCTAGCTGCCCTGATGACCGTCGACTTGTCCTTTGGCTACACTTTCTATTTGATGCTCCCGAACCTGATGGTTCGCTTCTACCTAATGTTCCCTCTCACGATATTTACACTCATGTCTTTGACATTCGGCACTCCGTTTGCTGCGTACTCGGCTCGTGGTGACTTTTGCGGAAACACTACGCCCCCTTGCCCTCCTCTTCTTTGTCATGGCGGCGCTTGCACTTTGCCTGTGGTTGGTGGCATCGGCCGTCCAGGCGGCCCCCGGCACTGGGTCTGGGGAAGATGATGAGTACCCGGGACACCTTTGGGAGGCCCGTTGGCAAAATGAAAATCCTCAGCCTGCCACCAGCTCGTCCGCGTGGGACTATGGCGAGGATGCGCCGACTTGGACATCGACGGCACCCTCTTCCTCTACACCTGCGACCTCCATGGGCCCCTCCACGGCGGATTCAAATACGCCCTCACAATTGGGTGAGACTGGACCTACCCCGGCTACTTTGGCCTCCTCCTGCTCCCCCTCATTGCCCTCCTCGTCCTCTTTGTGCCCGCCCTCGACACCGGCTCACACCATCGCCTTATTGCGCACATGGCTTGCGCCTGGGACGAGGAAATCTGCATCCAACTTCAGCAGGAAGAGATCGACGCCGCTCCTGAGGCTGGACATGGGGTGACTTCTTTGGTGAATCCTGAACCACTTCCTCCTTCGCAATCCTCTGGCGACCAGGGTGAGTCCTCTTTTGGTGGTGATGGGCCTGCAGTTGCTGAAGATGATGATGGAGACTATCGTGTCCTACCCGAATGGGACTGGCCACCCTCTCCCCGACAGCCTTCGACACCGAACTGGGGCGAAACGCAACCCACGGGCGAAGCGCACCGCCAGCCGTTCCCCTCCTCCACCTCACAGCTAGGGGGCGATACACAAACGGGGCCACTGAATGGATGGTCTTCTTGGTCCTCTTCGCCTTCGGAAACTACGCCGCCCTCGACTACCTCGTGGAGCAGTTCGCCGTCCGGAAGCACGCCGCTCTCGACTGCCTCATGGAGTTGTTGTCCCTCCTCTTCGCAGGCCAGACCAACCAGCCAGAGCTTCTACCCGACATGGACCCCCTGGACTCCCCCTTCGAGCTCCTCGTCGGATGTGCCCACCCCACCGCGTGACTGGGTGAGCCTGGTCATTGACCGAAGATGCCTACGAGGAAGACCCAGCTGCACCACACAACCTGGACAACATTCTCATCTCGATGAAAACGAGGAGGGTGGGACAACCTGCCGCTTTGGGATAAATCGTCCTGGCAGGGATCGCTGGCATCATCCGGACGGCTCCGTACGTAATCGTCGACGAGAACGCCTTCAAGCTGAGACGCTGGGTGGACTACCTCCTGTCCCTGAAGGTGACTCACAAGATGGCCAAAAACAGGAGACGTCGGTC